GGCCACCTGATGTGAAGAGCTGACTCATTTGAAAAGACCCTGATGCTTGGAAAGATTGAAGGCAGGAGGAGAAGGGGACGACAGAGGATGAGATGGTTGGATGGCATCACTGATGCAATGGACATGAGTTTAAGTAAACTCCAGGAGTTGGTGATGGACAGGGAGGCCCAGCATGCTGCAGTCCATGGGGTTGCAAAGAGTTGGACACGACTGAGCGACTGAGCTGAACTGAACTGAAGCCCTTAACACAAGGCATTCTTTCTGCTTTTTGATGGAGCTTGAGTGACCTACACACAGATGAGCTGGTAAGACCCACACCAGACTGCCTTGTTCCAATAATCCTGTGTACCTCTTGTTTGATACTAGCTACCTTGGAATCCAGTGTATCTGTGTGTATGTATTCTGTCGGTCTAATCAGATCTAACCTACCCCTGTTCCCTTGGGACACATAAGAGAGGAAGTTTAGACAGAGAGGTGAGGTGCTACCACAAAAGCAAAAACAAACAAATGTTAATGTTATTTGTATCAGAACTGGGGAGAAAGTGGAAGTGGCTTGTATCCCGTGGAGGGAAAGTGACACCCCTTCTCTTCCTGTCTCATGGCCTCCAAAGCAAACAGCTCTCCTGAGCATAGTGGAAAAAGCAGTCAGAAGAACGGACTGAATCCTTTCTGCCACCGACTTACAGATGTGAACCTGCTTACCTCGCCTTACCTGTTTTCATCCCATCTCCATTTGAGACCCTGTCTGTGCAACCAGGGGGAAGATGGAGTTTATTAACCTAGTGACCTCCGAAGTTTCTTACAATCTGGCTCTGTTCATTATTCTATTCACAACAGCTACTGAGCATCTTTCCTTATCTCATTCCTGAAATTAGACCTTTGAATCTTCTCAGCAATTTTGTGTGGGCTATAATATCGCCATTTTTACGGATAGTTTGGAACTCAAAGTTTAGGTAGCTAATCCAACTTTGTACTGCTAGAAAGTGGCAAAATGAATACTATAATCTATTTTTCAGGAAGTCTATAATCTGGTATTTCTGTCTTAAGATGAGGCAAACAAACAAACAGCAGAAGGGCTTATAAGAGGGCAGTTAGGGGACAATTTAAAGCGGAGAGAAATCTCTGAAGGTCTTTGGGTTTGGGAAACTTTATGGGGGGATTTCACTTTAGAATGCTTTTGTTTGGTTTGCTTTGAATTGTTTTGGGGAAGGTTGATTTGAGGTTTTCTGTTTTTGTTTTGTTTGTTTCTGACTGAGGCACTGATGAGGCCAAGGCCAGCATAGGGTCAAGAAATTGGGAACCTAGCTTTTTACATTTAATTCTAAGAAAGAGAAGCAAGGGAGATATAGAGACACCCTTTCTTAGAAGACTATTAGTTCATGAAATAGGAAAGGAACCAGAATTTAAGCATATGTTTGAACCAAGAGACAGTGTTCATTTGAGTGGAGAGTCCCTTATGATTTATAAATCTGGGTAACTGACTACAGTAGACAGGAGATGGTGCATGAAGCAAGGATTCTGAAAGTGTTGTCTGAGGACCCCTGAGAGTAGTCCTCCAGGTCTTTTCAGGCTGTCCTCCAGGGTAGCACTATTTCATAATACTGGTTTGCTTTTTCCTTTGTTGACATCTACACTGATAGCACCAAAGCCATGATGGGTAATGTTGGTGCCTTAGAATGAACCAAGGCTGCGGTGCCAAATTATCCTAGTAGTCACTGCATTCTTCACCACCATGCACTTCAATTTCTATTTACTTATTTATCTATTGGCTGCGCTGGGTCTTTGCTGCTGTGCACGGGCTTTCTCTGGCTTTGGAGAGTGAGGCCCGCTCTCTGGTTGCGCTGCGGAGGCACCTCATTGTGAGATGAGGCATCCCATTGTGAGAGGAGGCGCCTCACCGTGAGACGAGGCACCTCACTGTGAGACGAGGCACCTCACTGTGAGACGAGGCACTTCACTGTGATGTGAGGCACCTCACTGTGATGTGAGGCGTCCCCTTGTGAGAGGAGGCGCCTCACCGTGAGACGAGGCACCTCACCGTGAGACGAGGCACCTCACCGTGAGACGAGGCACCTCACTGTGAGACCAGGCACCTCACTGTGATGTGAGGCGTCCCCTTGGGAGACGAGACGCCTCACTGCGGAGGCCTCTCTTGTGCAGCACAGGCTGGAGTTGGTTGCAGCCGGTGGGCTCAGCAGTTGTGTTGCACGGGCATGTGGGATCTGCTTGGACTAAGAATCTGCCTGCCAATGCAGGAGACATGGGTTTGATCCCTAGGTCAAGGACATCCCTTGGAGAAGAAAATGGCAACCTACCCCAGTATTCTTGCCTGAGAAATCCCATGGACAGAGCAGGCTGGTGGGCTACAGTCCTTGGTGTTGAAAAGAGTCAGACCCAACTTAGTGACTCAACAACAATACTTAAAATAGTTTTCTGAAGAGATCAGTGGTGATGTTAACTACCATGATTTTCTGTTATTGTATGATGAAATGTGTCAGCATTTGGAAGAATTGCGTAATTCAGTGGACCAATATTTTTCAAACTGAACAATGTGTGATATTATAAAATTCTGAGTGGGTTAAGAGTTCAATTCAAAAAACAAAGTATACCAATGGATTTTAATGTAACAATATATGTAAAGTTTGCCGATACAGCTTCACAATCCACAATACAAGTAACTCTTAAGGGCTTACCACTTGTTGAGTTGTGGTGTGGTACCAAAGAATACCAACATTATCTGAAAAAGCTATTAAAATGTTCTTCCCTTTTCTGGTTACATATCTATGTGAGTGCAGATTTTCTTCAGATACTTTAAGCAAAACAATATTTTGCAATAAATTAAATGCAGAAGGGGCTGTCTTTTCTCAAATCAGACATTAAAGAGATTTTTTTAAATGTAAATCAATGCCAGTCTTCTATTTTGCCTGTCTGTTGGAAAATATGCTTGTTTTCCATTTTAAAATGTTTAGCACATAATGGGTTTATGACTATAATTTTAAGTGAATAGATGTTTTAACTTTTTTTAGGAGTTAATTTTGAATACAATAATTAAAAATGAATACAGAATAGAAATACACAAAAACTCCTTGGGGTTGTCAGCAATTTTTTTTAAGAGTATAAAGGTGTCTTGAGACCAAACAGTTGGAATACTGCTGGGAGTATCCCAAGGTGAGGTTCTTCAGAGAAGGGAACAAACTCTCAGCTTTCTATAGCAGTCACTCAATAGTTGACTATAATGATGATAAAGACCCACAAAACCAATGTGACTAATGCTGTAAGGCAGGAAGTGAAAAGTGTTAAATGAGTGGGCTAGTTCTACACTGTGCAGTATGGTAGCCACTAGCCACTTGTGGCTATTAAGCACTTGAAATGTGGAGAATCCTAACTAAGATGGCAAGTACACACCAGACTTCAAAGATTTTGTATGGAGTAACGAATACTGTCTTTAGGTCTTCTTTTTTTTTTTTTTAAGTTTTAAAAATTGAAGTACAGTTGATTTACAATGTTGTGTTAGTTCCTTGTACACAGCAAAGTGAATCAGTTATGTAAGTTCCCTGTGCTATATAGAAGGATCTTTCATTTATGGAATGCTGTCTCTCATTAATAACTTTTTATACTGATTATATGCTGAAAAGTTAATATTCTATATGTATTGGGTTATTTAAGTATTAAAAGTAATTTAATTGCTGCTTTTTTCCTTTTTTAATGTGGCTACTAGAAAAGTGAACATATGTGGCTTGCATTTTATTTCTCTTTGACAGCATTAGTTTGGACTTGATCAGAATTCAGAGCAGGGAAAAGTTGCTTACAGGGTTGGAGTCATCAGTGAAATCGTCAGTGAGAAAGAGGATTTTAGTGAGTAGATAAGTTGGGGAAGAAACTGCAGCTGAAGGGAGCATCAGTACTAAAATATGAGAGGATAATCTAGAGAGCAGAGGAAACTGATCTACATCAGATCATGGGCTCTTGGGGTGGGCCAGGAGGGTGGGGGAGAGAAGTTTCCAGAAGAGGTTAGGACCAAGTTGAACAGAACTTTGAGTGCCAAGAATTTGGACTTTTTCCTATAGGCAGTGTCTGTGTCCCCAGAAGAAAACCAGGCTTTGCCCCAGGGATGCTGGAACAGCCGAGATGAGGCCCTTTCTTCAGGTGGGGACAGAGCAGCATAAGCTCCTGGAAACCCAGCGAGCAAGCAGCCAGGACCAGCTCTACCTGACAAATTAATTTAAATGATGACTTTGAATTTAGCTGTCTGACTTTGGGGTTGATTGACTTGTTCTTTGTAAGTGAGGGAGATGGGTGGTAAACTTAATCACATGATATCTCCTGAAAGAGAGGAATCCTCTGTGATGCTAGTTGGCACCATGTTGTGAAGCAAGGCCTTTGACCTTGGCAGATCTCTCTAGACATGTGCATGAACAGATTGAGTCGTTCTTTCTGCCTCCTTCAGTCTATCTTCCGTTTTTGTTTTGTTTTGTTTTTGTCTTTATTTTCCTGAACTTTAGTAGGACTCAGTGGATGTTAACATCTGGCTCAGAGATGAAAAGAAAACAGCACTAAGGAGGCAGTTGAACCCCCTAGGTTCTTAGCCAGCCTTCGCAGGTAAATCAATGAGTAATTCGGACCACCTCTCTGGGCCCCCCATCTCTTCAGGTAGGAAAGAGGAGTCGGAACCAGAAGAGGCCAAGGTTCCCTCCAGCTCTGGGGTTCTAGAACCAGTCCACCTCACTAAGGGAGAAGCACATCCCCCTGGCAACCAGGCGTCGCTACCGGGTAGGGGAGGATGATTCTGGGCTGGTAAGGGCTGGTGTCCACCTGCGCAGGGCTGGCCCCAGCCTCTAGGTGAGGTTGTGCTCCTGCTGGTGAGCAGACCCTGTTAGAATCCGCACACAGTGAAGTCTTCCATTGGCTGTTTTCATCCTGGCGACCCACCCCTTTCATCCCTGGGGCTGGCTCCCACCGTGGTGAGTGGAGTCTGTAGGGAAGAAGCCGGGAAGCCTGGAATTTAGGTCGGTGCAAGTAAGTCTGCGGGCTTCCCTGATGGTTCAGTTGGTAAAGAATCTGCTGGCAATGCAGGAGACCTGGGTTCGATCCCTGGGTTGGGACGATCCCCTGGAAGAAGGCATGGCAACCCACTCCAGTATTCTTGCCTGGAGAATCCTCCTGGCGGGCTACAGTCCATGGATGGGGTCGCAAAGAGTCGGACACGACTGAGCGACTAACCGCGGCACAGAAGTCTGCAGGGGCTCTCAGTCTGGGGAAACCGGAAGAAGAGCGTGTGGCCCCGACACCCTCGGGCGACAGGGAGTGGCTGGAGTGATTGATGGGGATGAGAGGGCGCCCCGCGTGGTGGCTCCAACCTGTTTCTGCTCTTTTAGCGTTTCTAGAATAGACAGTGGGTGGGAACGACCCAGGTAAAGTACCGGAGGTTCTAACACTGACGCACAGGAAAGCCTCAAGTGGGAGGAGAAATGCAAATCCCCTCTGACGAAGGCGTCAGCGGCTAGGTCCTGGGGCACCGTGCAGGGCGATTCCGACCGTGGACTCGAGCACCGCCTGGGACGCGGGCAGAGGCAGCCAAGGTAAGGAGGCAGACCGCACCTTGGCGTGGCTTCTCTGGAGGAGGGCGGGACAGGACGTGGTTCTGCAGGACGCTGCCGAGCTTCTGCCGCGCGCGTGCTGTGTTGACAGTTACTTCCCGGTACTCTAGCTGAGGAAGAGTAGTTTTAGAAACAAGCGGTAGACTCCATGATTCAAAGGTGCGCGGTGGCGCGGGTCTTTCCGCGGCGAGACCCCCGCACTCTGCCCGGGAGACCGTGAACCTGGGCGGGTGAGACCGCGGTAGCTGCAGCGGGGGTGTGTCCGCGCCGCGTGTGGTCCCCCGCTTCCCTTTCTTAGCCAGCTGCTCTTAACTCTCATGCCTGGCATTCGATTGCTTGCCTGGGTTTCAGCCAGAAGCCCGCAACTGAGGTAGCTAGTGATTGAGGCTTTGATAAGAGCAGTGATGTTTTAGGGGCAGGTCGCCCCCTTTTCACAGAACCCCAAAGCGGCAGCGTTAGCTCACAGGCGGTGGGACAAAATGACCGTTTATCAGGCTTCTTCTAGGGCCAGGCATTCAAAGAGACTAGGCAGGCACTTGGTCTTCAAAAGAAATGTTCGGTAGTTTTCTTGGGATGGGTGAATTAGCCCTCAGAGAGAGAAGGTGTTTTTAGGTCCTTTAAAGGCATTACTAGAAGTTGCAACAGAAAGAGTGTCCTGAGACTATAAACCTGTCTTTTCCCCGTTCAGCCTTGAGTTCAGCTCTCGGGAGGGTGGACTCAGATCCTAGGAGTGACCTAACTTTAGGATGGGTTCAGTCCACTTAATTCTTAGTTAGAAAATAGATTTTCATCCAGATCATAGCAGAGATTGAACAATAGTAGCAGTTACAATTGTAATGCTATTCTCAGCACCTGTTCTTTTTGTCATTCCCTAGAATAAACTGATAGAGCAGAGCCATGGGGATAGTAGCATGGGAACAAATGTTGCAATTTTGAGAGGAATATGTGTACACCCAGCATCAGGAAAGACTGCCATGTGTGGTGTCAGGAGACCTCAGGTTGTTCCTTAAGAGCTGTGTGTCTTGGGCAAAAGTCATTTTGCCTATGTGTCCCTCAGATTTTTGGGTTTTTCCATCTTAAAGCTAGAATAATGCTAGCCACCTGTGCTATTTACAGCATCCAGAGACCCACTCATTCTTCTATTAATGAGTACTTACTGAGCACTTCCCCCTAGGATTATATGTGTAAATATAAAGTCATAGGAAAGTGAAAATTTTTTTCTAGTCGCTTTATTTTAGCAAAACATTGGCATTAATCTTTTTTAAATACAAAAGTTGCCCCTGAAATGGTTCCCTTTGAAACCTGAGAAATTTATCATCATAATGTTCTGTAAGCAAAAGGAAATCTTAATGTACCTACAGGGTAAGTTGAAACACCATTGTGATTGATTACATGAAAGGTTTTTTTTTGTTTGATCTAGAATTAGTGACAAAACTATAAAAAATTTGACTTTGGGAAAAGTAAAATACTGTAATTTCAAGGAGAGATGTCATATTCATTTCCTTGAGTTAAGAAATACATCTAAAGCTTCTAAACTGGACAGAATGGGGTTATGTCGGGGAAACACATACTTTTGTTTTATGACACATTGCCAACTACGTAATGAGCGGTTTCTTCTTCAGTATGTGGAGGGTTTAACCACTGTCAGATACACATCAGAGACTGGTTAAAAGGAGACTTTAAAAGCTTTTCCCAGCAATAGTTGATCATTCCAGAGAGAAATAACAATATTTATTTGTTCAGAGGTATTTTGAACTGAAAAAAAGCCCACGTGAAACTCTTCATGTAGGTAAGACTGAGACTAGAAGTCTAGGAATATGACTGACTCTTAGAAGCCAGACAAATCTGAAAAAAAAAAAAAGGGATTGGGCCATTTTATATAAAATAAGCTTTTATTGGGTAGTTCTCACATCAGGTGTCCCTGGTGGCTCAGATGGTGAAGAATCCACCTGAAATGCGGGAGACCCAGGTTCAGTTCCTGGTTTGGGAAGATCCCCTGAAGAAGGGAATGGCAACATACTCCAGCATTCTTGTTCATGGAGAATTCCATGAACAGAGGAGCCTGGTGGTCTGCAGTCTGTGGAGTCACAAAGAGTCAGAAAGACTGAGCGGCTAACGCTACAGCACATATAAAGCCTTTAAGAGGGATCTTGGCAGAAATAGTTTAGTTTGTTGTTTGCCTTCAAGTTGCTCAAAGTCTAATAGTGAGAAGGGAGCACAGAATAGAGAAGGAGATTGTTGAGAATACACATCTGTGTAGACAGATGTGAGGGGTTTTGAGGGGGAATGAAAGCTTTCTAGAGAAGGTGGATCAGATGTTTCTTTTAGAACAAAGAAAGACATGGCTTGGGGTAGAAAAAGAATCCTTTTTCCTTCCTTAGGAATGCCTTAGGAAAAAGCTCAGAACTGCATTATCTTTGGATTGAAAATATTTTCTTGTTTCTGTTTTCTTTGAGTGAATATAAAATAAATTTTTTTCTCCAGTTATTTAATGGATAACTTTGTCTTTGTCCGAAATCAAAAAAAAAAAAAAAGGAAAAGAAAACATGTACCATAGTTGTTAATTAACATTATTTTTAAATTCTATTGTTTCCTCTTATTTATAGCATGTCTCAGTGGAATCAAGTCCAACAGTTAGAAATAAAATTTTTGGAGCAAGTTGATCAATTCTATGATGACAACTTTCCTATGGAAATTCGGCATCTGCTGGCCCAGTGGATTGAAAATCAGGACTGGTAGGATCAAACGTTATTGTATTTTCCCTAGAGGACTTACATATGGACTTACTCTATGGTCCACTTTTAACTCAGTAGATACATTCTTTTCAGGTAAAGAACCTTCTTTGAGGCTTTGGAAAGCTTCCTTAAGGGAGAAGAATTGTTGTCCTTTCTGGTTTCATCCATTGTAGATTAAAACTTTATAGTTCTAGTGCTTCATTTTTTATAAGCCAACCCCCAGTGGTTTTCTAAGTATTAAAAAACCAAGAAGTAAGTATATTGTTTATATCAGTTCTCCATCATAGACTCAATAAAATAAACATTTTTTTCTTAATATGTTTTACAAACATTTTTGGAAGCTCTATTCACCTTGTACAATTAATTTTTTTTGCTTTTGTCTTCTTAAAATTTTTATTGTGATAAAAATGCATAACATAAAATTTACCATTTTAACATTTGTTAGATGTTCAGCTTAGTGGCCTTAAGCATATTCACATTGTTGTGCATCCGTCACCACCATCCATCACCAGAACTTTTTCATCTTAAAATTGAACTAAAACTGCATACTCATTAAATATTAACCCCTCATTCTTTCCACCCCAGCCCCTGGCAACCACTGTTTTCTGTTTTTGAATTTAACTAGTCTAGGTACTTTGTATAAGTGTAGTCACACCAAATTAGTTATTTTGTGACCAACATTTTACTTAGCATATTCTTTCAAGATTCATTCATATAGCATGTATCAGAATTTCCTTCTTTTTTAAGGTTGAATAATATTTTGTTGTATGCATATACTACATTTCTATATTCACCCTTAAATGAACATTTGAGTGATTTTTTCTTTCAGCTATTGTGAATAAAGCTGATTTAAATGTTGATGTACAAATTATCTACTCAAGTCCCTGCTTCAGTTCTTTTGAGTATCTACCCAGAAGTGGAATTGTATGTAATTTTATGTTTATAATTTGAGGAATCTCCATACTGTTTTCTATACTGGCTGCACAGTTTTCCACTGCCATTGGCTATATACAAGGAGGTTCCAGTTTCACATCCTTACCAAAACTTGTGTTTTTGATAATAGCCATCTAAATAGGTGTGAAGTGATATCTCCTGGTTTGATTTGCATTTCCTTAATGATTAGTGATGTTGAATATACTGTCATATGTATACAATTTAACTTTTAAAACCATTAAATGCTTATCACTGTGGGATATATTTATCACTTTAAAATGATTATGGTAAAGAGTAGGCATTTTTATAAGCTGTTTCCCGCTGTGTAAAAACATTTTTGTTTTTTAGGGAGGCAGCATCTAACAATGAAACCATGGCAACAATTCTTCTTCAAAACTTGTTAATACAACTGGATGAACAGTTAGGCCGTGTTTCCAAAGAGAAAAACTTACTTTTAATACACAATCTGAAAAGAATTAGGAAAGTCCTTCAGGTGAGAATGCATTCTACTTTTTTAAAATATTTGTCTTTATAAGTCTTAAATTCAGTTAAAAAAAAATGTGGTCTTATTGTATTTCCATATCAGATTTAAAAGAGAAAAAGCTGAGTTCTCTTACGATTTTACATTTTGTGCTCAATTTTATTTCATTACCCAATGTTTGTTTTTCACCAACTTTTGAATCTTAAGATGCCCACAAAGGGGAGGGTATGATTTGCATGTGACTGTTTACTAGTTATGATCAAATTGATGAGAGTCTGGGACGGGGATCTGAAAGATGCTTGTTTCATAGCTGTCTCTCTGAACCTTTCTTGCCTTTGTCTCATATGTAACAAATCAGAGTTGGTATTGTTCTCATTCATAGGTGGAGGCATTATGATCATATGTCTTCTTCCAGATTTGGTTCAAACCTCACCTTCGAAAGCATTCTTTGGTGTCCTGTAGCTTCCCATTCCAAAAGTTCACCAAGGTGTTCCCATAACACCTGCAACTCTTCTGTGCTGTAGCATTTAGTGTTTTTCTACATTAGTGTTACTTCTGCATTTCTTCTCGCTCAATTTGTGGGTTACTTAAGGCAAGGACTTTAACATTCAGTTTTGAATTCCCAGTGACGACCACAAAGCTGGACATATGGTAGATGTATAATAGTCATTAATTAAACAGATGAATGAATAAGTGAAACAGGGATCTAAAGAATTAAGAGCCGGCTATTATTGACCTAAACGCAGAGATGCTAATGAAGTAAACTCTAAACATGAACTGCTCTAATCATTTACAAAGTGCCTATACAATGTATTAGAGAATATGAAATATACATGTACCATTTCTTAGTGATACATCTTTAGGACCTCAAACTTACAATGAATGCATTTTTAGAAGACTTTTCCTAGACTATAATAGAAATGTTTTTGATATTACTAACATCTGTGAGAGGGAAATAGATATTAAGTTTTTATTGTTGTTTGGATTGCTGTTTTTTAAATTGTTAGTGTTTTATTGTTGTTAGGATTGGATTTTTTTTTTCATTGTCATTTTACTGTTATCTTTGCCTTTGTAATCCCCTACAAATTTGCAAGAGACTTGGCTGGGGCAGGAAATGAACTTGTTGCCAGCAGAACAGAGTTTTTCACAGTGTAAAGCAAACTATCTCTTCCAGAGATAAGACAATTAATCTTGGCTTCACTTGCTATTGTTCTAATCAATGGACCTAAAACAGAGGTTTGGCATACTGGTACCCACAAGTCAAATGTAGCTGTTGCCGGTTCTTGTATGGTCCATGACTAAGAGTGGTTTTTGCATTTTAGAGTGTTTAAAAAAGAGTAAAAGTAAAATAAATAAGTTTGTGACAAGAAAATTATAGGAAATTCAAATTTCTGTATTTTAGTGGAATGTAGCTTACTTAATTAGTTATGTATTGACTCTGGCTGCCTTTGCACCGCAGTGGCACAGTTGAGTAGTTGTGACAAAGACTGCATGGACCCACAGCCTAAATTGAAAATGTGTGCGTGTGTATATGTGTGTGTGTCCATATTAAGCATACTTATCTGGCCCTTTATAGGAAAGTTGTGTATATGTGTGTGTGTCCATATTAAGCATACTTATCTGGCCCTTTATAGGAAAGTTTGCTGACCCTTGTTCTTTGCCAGAGGGACATAGTTGGATAAAAAGGGGGTGATTTGTGGTCTTTGGAAATTCTGATTCTCAAAATTTGACCTTGGGCAAGTCACTTAATTTTTGTAAATTCTTATATCTTTTCATGTAAATGAGGATAATTATTTGGGATTATAAGAAAAACTGGAGCTTTTATTCTGGAAAAAAAAAATAGGCTTTCAAAAATGGGCCTTATTGTTGATAGAGAAAATAGCAGGATCTTCTTAGTGTTGTTCAAGAGTAAGTGTCCAACCCATCATTTTTCTGAGTGGGGATATGATTGTGAGGGAGCCCAAGAACCCGCAGTAATTCCCAGTCACATTTCAGCTCAAGCACAAAGGTCTCTGCTTATGTCACAGACTTTGCAGCGTCTTGTCTCTATTGACCTTTTTAATAAACTGCCCCAAGCTCCTCCACATTCCTGCCCTGGAAGCCATAGGTCTACTCCTTGTTCCTGAGCACAGCGAGCTCACTCTTGGATGACTCTGAGCCTTCGTCCGTGACAATCTGGTGGCCAGGAATGCTCTGCTATCTCTCTTCCTCCAGTCCAGCTCCCAGTCATTGCTAGAGGATCTGTGAAGGCCCCAGGCGGCAAGGGAGCCTTCACCTGTGCTTCACCCTGTTTTCTCATTCCCCATGGAGCATGTGCCGTAAGATAACCAGCTTCTCATCTTTTGGGGATGTACCCAAGAAGGCCACAAGCTCTTTGAAAGTAGAAATCTGAGCTCCTTTTGTGACCTTCCTCTTTCCTCCAGTACCCAGTGTGGTACTAGAAACAAACTAGAAACTACTACAAACTAGAAACTCCAAAAACAGTTTGATTGGTTAGGATATTTTGAATGGACAAAACCACTTGCTCTTCCTTTGACTTATAAACTATACTTATTGATATTTGTATTAATTCAAAACAGTAGAAAATAGTGATAAAGAACATCACCAATTAAGACAAATCTTTTTGGTAAAGTAAGATCCCCTCCCTCGAAATGAAGTAAAAACAAAAAGAAAAACAAAAACCTCCTGCTGAAAGAATATTGACACTATGTTTATCTGGTTTGAACATTTTCATCCTATGGGATTTTAAATGCAATCTATTTTAACTTTTGTAGCATAAAAGATCAAACAACATGGTCCCAGGGGAACTAAGAAGGTGTAAGGTAAATTTATTTTAGTGGTTGTCAGAGCAACTGAGGTCTCCAGTGTCAATATTTTAATTTACTATTTATATCCCACCTACTTCTGATAAAAATTTGGAATGGCTTGTTATAAAAGACAAATTAAACAAAACCACTGAACCAAGAGTCAAGGCAATCTCTGAGTTGGAAGCAGTGAACACTGATGTCCAGGTTACCTTAGTCCTTTTAAGGGGAGGCAGCCTCAGATCAAGGTCAGGAGGTAGGACTATATTGGGTTGAATCCTGGTTCTATGACTTGCTTGCTGTGTGGGCCAGGGCAAAATGATCACATTCTCTGGCCTTAGTTTCCTCAGCGGTGTGAGTGGAATCACAGTGGTATTGAACCCCACAAGGATGTTAGGAGCATTAAAAAATTGTAGAACATGTAGTAAGGACTGTGTTAGGATTTGCTAAAAATAAATATCTGGCCCAGATATTTCAAGAACGCTTCACTCTGTTCTTGGGGCTTATTTTTTAAACTAACAGAATTTAGTTTTTAGAGCAGTTTTAGGTTTAAGGAAAATTGAATAGAAAGTAGAATTCTGTATATGCTCCCTCTCCACCTGCCTCTCCCTAATTTGTCTTATTATCTGGCAATTTTTTGTACTTTGTTTCAGTTGATGAACCTGTTATAGTACATTGTTACTAAAGTCCAAGATTGCATTAGCATTTACTCTCTGTGGTGTACAGTTCTGTAGGTTTTGGCAAGTGCATGATGTATTGGATCCGCTATTTCAGTTTCACTGCCCTAAAAATTTCTTCTGCTCCACCAATTTATTCCTCCTTCCCTCCCCATGCCCCAGCTCCNTACTCTTAGTATGGCTAAATCACTCAAGATTTCTGTATTGGAAATTATCTTGCTCTCCCTAAAGTACTAGAAGTGAACTGACCTAGCATTGTATACCATCAAATTACTTAAAAGTGAAATGGGACCTTTACAAATTTTCCTAAATTCTGTGTCTAAGCAAAAACTAAGAGGCAGTCAGATATAAACAGCCTTCTACTTACCAAAGCTGTATTATTCTCAATAATACAAATATAATATTGTCATTCCAATTCTAATCTGGGTACCCTAGTCTGCCTTCTGTTTTTGTTATTTTTTCCTTGAGATACAGTAACTTAGGCATAAGATCTGAACTAAGACAACTTAGTGAATCTTGAACATATTTCTTTGGAAAATATCACTTGGCCACAACTATCTGTTGGCTAAACAATGACATTATCAGTAATACTGTAAATATATTTTAAAAAATTTAAATGTAGTCCTCTCATAAAAAAAAAAAAATTACCACTTCTAAGTATCTACCTGCTGAACGTCTTTCAATCACGGTTTTCGGATTTTCTTCCATAACATTCTCATTTACTGGGCCCACCTGAGACAAAGCTTCAAGTTTTGTCTTCTTTTTGTCCACAGGTCTCTTTTTTCTATCACCTCTCTTATCAGTGGGATGATCATTTTTCCTCTGTGTTAACTCAATTTTTAAATCATTGTCTCCATCTTCTTCCTCCCCAACTTCATCAACAGTAACAAAATTAAGCTCTTCTTTAAGGTTGTTAAAATCTGCCAGAGAGTCTTCATCCTCTTCAGTTACTTCATTTAAAGTCAGGTTCTCTCTTAAAGGAATGCTAATCCCATTCAAGAGAGCTCTGCCCTTGCGATCTAATCATTTATCAGAGGCTCTACCTCCTAATACCATCACTTTAGGGGGTAGGGTTACAGCATATGCATTGGGGAGTCACAAATATTTAGCCTCCAGCAACCTTTTACTGTCTCCTTTCCTGAGATAAAATGACTTTAAAATAATTAAAATGGTGCATATTTGTAATTTTAAGAATTGAAGCAATATAAAATATGCAAATAAAATATGAAATAATACAAAATCTACTGCTAAGATATAACCATATTAATATTTGATAAACATCATTCCTAACATCACTCTCTCTCTCATTCCATATGATAGATAGATAGTAGAGCAGGCTACTATTGACATTTTATACTCAGTTGCTGTCAGTATCTTTGTAGCCTCCTGTTTCCCCACTGCCAATTCCTCTCTGTTCTCTCCCCATTCACAGTAATCACTAATCTAAATTTTGCATTTATCAGTCTCTTTCTTTTCATTACAGTTTATCATATATTGGCATCTTTAGATGATATATAGGTTTGCAAGTTAC